GGTTTGGATCTTGGTTCTGGTATCTGATATGGGACCATTTATTTATCTCTGTTTTATCTGAAAACGGGGGTGATGAGCATAATAACAATAACAAAATCATAGAGGTGTTGGAAGGATCAAATGAATTAATATTTGTGAAGCACTGGGAGTAGCTACTGAGATATAGGAACTAATTAATACATGTTCATTATATCTTTATGTGCCAAGCTGTCATCATAGATATCAATTTTATGCTTTTTGAGTTTTAGTTCTGGCTGAGGAAACATACATTAAACAAAAAAAAATGTTACCAGTAATTATTTAATTACAATAAGGATACATGTTATGAAGGAGATTTTCAGGGTTGTGAAAGAGCTGACAGCCTTGTATGGGGGACAGGAAGGTGACATTTACAATGATACTTGAAGGATGAGAAGAACTTGGCTGGGCGTGGAGACCTAGCATGAGCTTAGAAGCGGAGAGGACTTGGTGAGCTCTAGCAAATGGAAAAAGACCCCGTGAAGGGCAGAGCCAGGCTTGATAGCAGAGAGAGAGTCGGGGCCGGATAGCAAGTGAGCTAAGTAGTCAAGGAGAAGTCAGAGTTCGTCATTTGGGCTCAGAGGACTGCTGGGGAGAGGAACGTAACAGGACAAGGTGAGGGCACCCGGAGAACTAAGAACTAAGAACTAGTGAGCACTGACATTTTTGCAGACGGAGAAGGTACAGGGTGATCACCAGGCACAAATAAGATTGTAAAGCATATAGGGGGCCAGAGGGTAGGGGGCAAGGAATTCTGGGCAAAACAGTTCTGACTTTGGTATGTTGTTAAATCTCCACCAGGCCTTGGATAAAGAGAAGGATGGACGAGAATTTCATTTTTCAGCCCACTGCCCCAGCGGTTTGGATGGGAAGTGAATGGGGATGTTGCGGTGGGGGGGTAGGAAGGAGGTGAAGAGAGACGTGCTGCCTGGTACTTTGACTCAATGAGGAGATGCTCGAATCCACCTCACTGAGAGACATGGAAGGCTTTGATTGCTTCTGACATACAGTGATCACTCAATAAATATTAGCTCCTATTAATTCAACTGCTTTTAAAATGGAATTAAAATAGCTCTTGATAGGTGTGATATATTATACCTTATATAGAAGCAAACTTTTTTTTCCTGTTAGCTCTTCCTAGTACTTCCTAAAGACCCTGAATATGCCAGCTACATTCTACAGTGCACCGTGATTATTTAGGCATAAGTTCAGCTCAGCAATTGACTCCAGATTTCTCCACGGCAGAAACCCAGCAACTTGCTCATCTCGGATTCTTTCATGCCCACTCACATTCAGGAGACACTTAAGAAAGGTAGGTTTCTCTCTGCAGTTGCTGAGCCTCTTCTGAACCCAAAGCACCTCGGATTAAGGGATTTTAACTCTTTTGGGATTTGGCAGGAAGAGTCAATGGAAGCTTTTGAGGCAGTAGCAGGTGGCACAGAGTCCTACACAAACAGGACAAAATCTTATCTTTATTTAAGGAGTGGGAAGTGGAGCCTCCTTTCCACCACTGAATGTTGATCTATATTTCTTATATATATTTTAGGAAATAAAGCCCATTTACCTCCTTATTTATATCCCATTTGACTTCTTCTTTTTAATTTCTTTAGCTCAAATTTAAAAGAAGCAACTTATAAAAATCTAACTTCAGGTGGGAGACCAGAAAAGTCACCTAATCTTGAGGCTTTACAGCTGGGGTTTGAGAATAGACATTCATGAATGGGGTTGGCAAAGAAGAATTCATTAAAATTCTATGCAAAATTTTGTAGGCATGTTTGTGCGCTTTTTTTTTTTGCACAACATGAAGAGTTCAGAGCAATTATGATGCTCTTAAAATGAACTGTGACTTTAAAAATATTGTCTAATTCTTCATAGTATGAATAGGGTGTTGTGAAATATCCCATTTACTTAGTTAATGCTCTTGAAAAGATTCTACACAAGAATCACCCCAAGGTCTACAGACAGGAAGTTCTTTCTTAAGTCTACCCTAATCTGTAGCAACTCCTCCCCATGCAAGCCCTTGGTAAATTCAGTGGAAATAGCAAACAGCTGCTCACCAACACCCACCCCAAAGAAAGAACAAGACATTTCTCACATATCTCAAGCTGCTTTAAATGTTCTTTCTTTGGCAAAGAGGAAAAAAAAAAGAAATATATTTTTGGCCTATAAACCTTTTCCCACCCATGTGTATTTCTGCAGAAATGTTATCCATATGGTTCTGATTGCTTTCTCCGTAAGTCATTAGGAATGCTTTGCACTAGGAACTTTTCTGATGACCAAGGAGTCTTTGGAGACATTTTTAAATGGCCCTCTTAGCCTTTCTTCATAGAAACAGGGAAGCTAAACAGCCAAATGCAAATGAACTAAGGCCTGGAAAGGTTGGAGTTTTATTCAAAACCCAGAAACCATAAGGCTCCGGTGAGTCTTAAACCTGTCCATGCAAAGTCTTCACCCCCTCCTCCAGGGGCAAGAGCTACTAAATTCTCCATTGGACAAATTATGCAATGAACCCAGCCATTTAAGTTTATATTTAGGGTTGGGTGCAGTGACTCCTGTAAATTCTAAGATCTTCTAATCATTCCAGGGCTTCTCTGTTATTTCTTAAGATACATTAAAGATTTTGAACTTGGTCATGGAGGTGGAATTTTTGACTCCATCAATGACTGACTAGTTGTGGTTCAGTATGCTACCCAAGTTTTCTGGGGTCCAATTTCCTATTATGTAAAAATGGGGTAGCATTATCTACAACATACTTCATAACTCTTTGAAAATTATAAGCAGTGATATAGGGGCCATTTCAAATGGAATATCTGGTGCATGATAAAAGTTCTCTCTAACAGTAATTGGAACTAGGATGGGATCCATGTTTCCAGAGGGAAATATTGACTATGTGGGGTGGATGAAAGAAAGGAAAATATTCCACAGTGTTATGTCTTTCCTAATAAGGCAACCAGATCATGATCCACCTTGAGAGACTGATTACTAAGGTAGAGCTGAGGAGAGAAAACAGTCTACATGTTCATCTACACGTGAACCTGCCTGCCAGGTTTTCAGAACTGCATTACCAATAATGTACTGTTGCCTACTATTGCTGAAGGAGACAGTTCTGAGATGGAGGGTGATGGAGAAACAGAAGAAAATGCAGAAAACATGCATTGAATATGTGAAGGAGAAATACCGAAAGAGGAACAGTACAGAAAGAGAGAAAGAAAGGGGAGGGAGAGAAAGGAATAGGCGATAGCAACCCTAGGCTCCGTAATGACATGGATGGAGAAGCAGGTGTATGGTGAAAGTATTTCTTCATAGACTCAAAGTCAAAGTTGCCCCTGGAACCACTGGCCAGGATCCGAATCTGCTCCAGATACCAAGGGAAGGAGAAAGTTGCCCAAGAAAAAAAATCAGACAGAAAGAGAAATCACTGGGCTGGTCAGTGACCTGAGAGCTGTCCGTGGTGCTGACTTCCTCATTTAGAATAGAGTGAATTAGAGGAACCCAGAACTGGTTGCTGCTCCCTCCCCTTCCCTCCCTCTCCTTAGTCCTGCACTCTGGGGACCCAGGGCCATCCTAGACATCTCTGTGTCTTTCCCCTTTTTTTCTTCTTCATTCTTCGTTAATTACATACATTTACTCAAGTCCCCAGAGCATCACTCAAATATTTCTCTTCATTTTATTCCAAGACTCTTCTTCCACCTTATTTCCTTAAAGGCCTTCTTAAAAGTCACATCTCTCTCCTCTCATCCTTTGGATAATAATAAAGTGATTACAATAGGAATCATAATTGCAGAAAACATGCATTGAGCATTCACTAGGTGGGAGGGATCTTTTTATATGCTTTTATATACATTGGCTCATTTAAATTCCACATCAACTCCCTTACATAGGTAGTCACATTATCCTAGTAAACATGAAAAATCGAGGCTTAAGAAGTATGTAATTTGGCCAACATCCTGTAGCTACTGGCTTTGCACCCCCTCTTGAGCCTGTACTTTTGAATCTGGGTTCCTTTAAATTCCCCAACATTTTGTCTTTATGGTTTCCTGCTTCTCCACTCTGTTAGTTTCACGGCTGCTTCCCACCCTGGCTTAATGTTTAAGGGACTAGGAATGTGCATTACTGGTGCGGTTTAAATCACAAGGGAAGCAAAGTAAGCACACGTACAGAATATGCACCGTGAGGGCATTCCGATCGCCTGAGGGCCTTCTTTTCTGCTTCAGAGAGAGGCCCAGTGTCAGCAACCCCAGCCGGCAAGCACCTCGGGCTCTATGCGGAGTCTGGCTGTCTACATTCATGTCTCAGTCCCTGTACCCTCGCCTCTTCCCTGCCTCTGGTGGTCTCCAGAGAACTTTGCGTTCCCCTCAGCTTCTCATTCCTCCATCCTGCCCACGTAGAGAAGCGCTTGCTTAATTCCTGGGGGTTACGTGGGCTCCCGCCGACACAAGGAAACACAGTCTCAAATGCAGAGAGGCACAGACACAAACGGACCCACATGGGTACCTCCCCGGAAAAAAGAAAAAAAAAAAAAACAAACACGCTCCGATGGGTTCACGCAGCCCCACGAGTACCCGCATACTCAGAAACACTCGGGTACTCGCGACGCACGCAGCTACAGACACGCTTAAGAACACCACCATTCGGGATCTGCGCACACACGCAGCATCGGTGGATGCTCAGACCCCGAGACGCACCGCCCTGTCCCCAGACCCAGGAGACTCCCGGGTGGCTCAGCCTCAGCCCACCCAGGCCGCCCCTCCCTCCGGGCGGCCTCCCTTCTCTCGGCTGCCTTCTCTTCCTCCTCCGCCTAAAGACGTACAAAACACTCCTCGGAATAAACCCGGCGCTCGGCTCCTCCCTCCCCGCCCCCCGGCAGCCGCTCCCCCATTCATTTTAGCCCGTCTCCGGCTAAGTCCCGCCCCCTGCCTGGCCCGTCCTCCGCTGCTCCCCGCCCGGAGACCGCGGCGCACTTGGACTTCCCTCTCCATTCGCCAGCCGCCTCGCTCCGGGTCCCCACGGCTGCGAACTGATCTGGCGCGGGGGGAGGAGGAGAGCGCAGGCGAGAGTGGGAGAGAGCTGGCGAGAGAGCAGGAGCCGGGAGGCACAGGGAGTAGTGACCGCCTTCCGGAGCCGGGATTCATGCCTGTCCTCGGGACCAGCGAAGGGGACTTTACGGCTGAGTATGAGCCAGGCTGCTAGGAGCCAGGTACCCCCACGCCTGCAGTCCCCGCGCCGTCCCCGGTATGCGAGCTGGACGCAGGGCTCTCCCAAGTTCCCACCGAGCAGAATAAAAAGCGTCGGCCCGCAGCTCTCCGCCAAAGACGGACATTGACTCCAGGTAAGGCGGCGCCGGTGCAGCGCCCCGGAGCCCCGCTGCCCTTGGAGAGGGCCCCGCGCCGCATTCGGGGCGCCCCGGCCGCCCCACTCCCCGCGGCACCCTCGTCCGCTCTTCCCAGGCCACAGTCCGCCGCCAAGTCCAAACAGGTTCCGGGGAGGGGGGTCCCTGTACGTGGGGCTCCGAGGGTTAAATGCGGCTTTTAGTAAAGTGGCATGTGTGCCCCCGCGCGCTCCCGACGTGTGTACCATGGTGGGAACTTGATGTGGTGCTAGTGTGTGTCTGCGTGTGCGGCGTCGTTTGCGTTTGATGCGTGTTTGTGGTGTGTGTGTGTGTGTGTGTGTGTGTGTGTGTAGGGGAGGGGGTGAAGAGAGGTCCTATAACCTACTTACGGCGCGATATGTGTGTGTGTGTATGTTTGTATGTATGTTTGTATGTGTGCGCTTGTGTGTCTTTTTAATTAGGTCTCTCCAGCTTACACGAAATGGGATCCTTACTATAGGATCACGTAGCCATCGGGAAACCCGCTGTGGACTTCCTCCCTGGGCTCCGGGCTCGGGTTTGGCGGAGATGATAGGGATATGGATGGCATCATATTTAGTCCAGTGTTGGTACCCTTGAAGGAAAATTCCTCCAAAGGATGGACCTTCTACACACTTGGACACACCGTTTAATATGAAAGAGAAATGACCAGACCCTGAGGCAAATGAGATGCTGTCACTTTAAATTCCACACTGGGCAGACTCCAGGATTCTGAAGGGAATTTGGAGGCACTGGGTAGCCTGTGATAGAGGAAGGGGAAAGTCAGCGCGGTGGGCTTCTTATCTGGGGCTGGGCAAGTCTGGGATAGAGATGTGCCCTGTCTCTTGGTTTATAATATCTCAGCATAAGGACATTTCCTGTTTCTGGTGGTTTTGGGGGAGGATCAGGGCAAGTTTATGTGGTTCTCCCTCTGGGAAGGGAGAAAACATCCTCTGGGGACTTGCTTGTCCATCACCATTGCATGGGGTCTCAGAAGAGATTTCATGTAGGGGGCAGCTCTGCAGCTCTGGGTGATAGGAAGGCGATATCTGGGGCACTTCCCTAAGACAGATTTTTCTTTCCTTCCCCATCTCAGGCAGGCTTGAGAAGCCCCCTGACCCCAGCAAATCTTCTAAAACTGTGTCCCTGCTGGAGTTAGAAGGATACAGGGAGAAGGCAGAGGGGTGTGTGTGTGTGTGTGTGTGTGTGTGTGTGTGTGTGAGAGAGAGAGAGAGAGAGAGAGAGAGAGAGAGAGAACCGGTTGGGGAGACTTACAATTTGGGAAGGGACCCTGGGTATTGAGCCCATGATAGAATGTGGCGGTAATTGACTTAAACTGCTGTCTGGTTTGTACCTCACATCTCTTGTTTAGCTCCAAAATACTGCCAAGGGCAGGGTGGGGCATGGGAGAATCTCTTTTAGGAAGACAGTTTGGGTCCAGGCCCTCTTTCCTTTTTCCTCCACCTTTTAGGAGTCTTCCTAGGTAAGTCCCTTGGCCACCTTGGCTAGGTACTCTTGGGCTTGGGCTCTGGGGCCAGCCATTGATTTGATTCCCTGCTGTCTCTAAAAGGCTTGCCCTACTCAGCAAAAATGCTGAGTTTTACTGCTGTTAGCATGGCTTCCAGACTCGGCAGCTGTTACTTTCTCAAGGTAAGAGGCAGCCGTTCTGCTACCAGGCAGCAAAGCCAGGAGAAGACAAGGCTGAGAAGGTGGAGCCCAGCTTCGTGTCTACCTCAGCTTGAAGGGACCACCAAAAAGGGTTTGAGAGAAGAAGAAAAAAAACATAGAAATACACTTGGCTTAAACATTATTTATATATGTATATATTTGTCTTCTGGGGTGAGATAAAAGCAAATGTGTGTTTGCAGGAACCTGCCCCAGTGAGTGGGTGGCTGTTCTACCTGCAGGCACTTGCAGACATACCATTCTCTGGCCAGAGGCAGCTACCTCAGGCTGAAGCCTTCACATTGCCACAGAGAATCTGCTTCAGGAAACTCCAGTTAGAGCAGAGCTGCCTGGTTCATTTTGGGTAGGGGGTGTGAAGGCAGAGGAGGAGACCCCCTGCTGGGAACCACTCTCATTTTCTCTCTTTTCCAATCCATAGATGATCGAAGCTGGAAGGAATATGAAAGAACAGACAGGCAGGACTCTGTGGCCCAAGACAGGATGAGGATCTCCTAACATTCTCTAGGGAATTGGTGGCATGCCCAGAGTTAGAACCCAGGTTGCCTGTCAGTCATATCAATGTCTTTCTCTCAATCACTCTGCCCAGGGATTGTGTATTGTTCTCCACCCTGCCTGGCCACTATGTTCCCACCCAAGGGACAGCTGCTTGTCTTTCCCTCATCAAACTTCTCATTTCAAAGACGTGTTTCAGAACTTCTCCATCTGGAAATGTGACCCTCGAGAGAAGTGACCCAATGTGTCTCAATCACTGTTCCCCATAGGCAGGCATATCCGTGCACGTATCAGACACACACACACACACACACACACAAAACATAGATTCTTTCTCCAGTGTCTTTAGATAATTATACACAAGCAGGGAACCAATACTGACTATGACTGGTAGACAGAACCCATCAAAGCATCTGTACTAAGCCTGAGCTTCTTTATTAAGGAAAACTTTGCTTTCCAGAGTGCTAAGTGTACACCCACCCATTAGTGCAAATACTTCAGGCAAATTAATCTCTTTATATTAATTAGAATCTGAGCCCCATATGTTTATTCATGTTGCAGGCATAGGAGCACAGGCAGGCACGCATGCTTACAGGCACTCACGTGCACATGTGCTCACACAGATCTAGAAACCTTTTCTGCTTGCTGCACTCCCAAAAGACATTTGCGACCTCCACACCAAATTGGGTTCCCCCTTATAAAGGCATCTCTCAAAGTAGTATTGGGACTCTTAGTTCCAGGGAAAGGGAGATACAAACCCCTGTGAGCCAGAGGCCCTTTAGAAGTCAGAGTCAGGCTCACTTACAAGTTTGCTCTCAGTCTTCTAGATGCTCTTTTTTTGGGGTGCAGGCAAGTACTGGGAAGCACAGCGTTTTAGGCCCAACTGCTATAGTCTTTTCCACGCAGGTTTATCCAGGGCTGAATGGCACTTTTGCTCCCAGAAGGGGGAGCTGTGACTCCATTTCAACCAAGGAAAAACAGCAGAGAGATTCCAAATCAGCTGTTGGGCCCCTGTTGAGTTTAGAAGGCCCAGCTCAGGCTGCAATGAGTACATTTGTAGCAGTATAGGTGGAAATGGTAAAAACACCCTTCCCTGTTCTGCTCAAGTAGGACATCGCTTTCTTAGTGTATTAAAGATTTTATGTTATTGACCCAAAAGTCCTCTTTTCTCTGAAAAGGTCTTTGTCCAAAGGTCCTTCAGTTGTATGAGGAGACATTTTATGATTGGCATCCTCTCTCTTTCCCCTCTCAGTTCCTTAGATAAAATGATCAGCATGTATCACCTAGATATCCACGAAGGTTAAACATACCTGGTCCTTCTCTTCCTGCTTCCCCTTTGCTAAAATCCAAAGTTGAACAAATCAATTACCAAACTGCAGGTGACCATACTATCAAGATGGGGTAATTTGAAAAGGACAAGTCTTCAAATGTCATTCTTCAAATAATCTCCCCCATTGTTTTCCATTTTAATCCTTTATCATTAAAAATAATGAATTTCTCTACCAATCTTTCCACCACTTCCTACCTTTAGGGTTTACTTTGTAAAACGCTATCCATATTTTAACATCCAGCTCAAATAACCCTTTCAAGAAGACTTCCCAAGACCTTATTCTGGAATTAATCTCTTTCTTCCTTCCATTGCTACATAATTTTATCTGAGACTGTTAAGCTTGTCTCCATTTTCCTGGATTGCACCGAGGGGATGGGTCTGTCTTGCCCTCGTCAGTGTTCTTCTTGGGAGCCTCTTTGTATCCCCAGGGACTGACACCAGTGGTTGCTCTGTAAACGTTTGCTTTGGCATTTCATGTCCAGGCTCAGCAGCAGCTGTCACCTCTCTTCCTCTCTCTCTCACTCACTCTCTCTGACAGTCGCTTCATATTTACTCAAAGCCATGCTGCTGTGGCTTCCAAGTAACGGCTCTTTTACTAATAATATTGTAGGGATGTTGATCATACAGACAGAAAGTTATGTCCTACTTGGAAGAGAACATTACCCCAACTGTGTTCCCAATCTTTCATTCTGTTCTCTCCTTTCATCTCCCTTCTCACCCAGTAGGGCAAACACCGACCGTGTTTCAGAAGAGAAAGTGAAGCTCATGATGGTGAGGTTCCTTTCCCAAGGTCACATAATGAGCAGAGCATGTGAACCTAAGTCCTCCTCACTAGAGCATCTCTGTGCTTCCCTCTGTGTAATTGAGTTAATGGATGGCACATGAGATGGGTTTATTCAATGGCCAGAAATAACAGATACATATTATTAACTTTTTGAAATTAATGGTATGAAGGTGTCATGGAGTCATTGGATAAAAAAAAAAAAATCTCAGTATTTTCTTTGAGAAGTTTCTCTAAAGAAACCCCTGATGGTTTTTCAATAACTGAACTTTCTTCTTATTCAGGAATCAAAAATCCTTTTGGTAACACAATCCATTTTAGTTTGAGTCCTTTTGGAGCCCATGAGTTCATTACCACACAAAGCAGTCTATGTTGTATTTGCACAGCTTTGTTGGAATATTTTCTTTTTCTTTTAGACTTTGACCCTAAATCTGCCTTCTCTCTATATGTCTCTGAAATCACACAAATACAATTCTCTTTCAGTTTTCTGTTCTTCACATAATATGCAAGCATAATCACATAACTCCCAAGTTTTCTTTTTCCGAGAAAGGCCTGTCTTCACAGTTCTGTCTCCTGTAACATCCTTTTAGGAGGCCTCTGACTATGCTGGATATTGTCCTATGAATATTCTCTTTTTTATCTTATTTTTTAAAGGATTTTGGTTGCTGTTGTTGTTGTAGATGAACACAATAT